TTCTACATGTGGGGGCGCCGTGGGGGCCACGGAGGAAGGCTGTTCTCAGCATGCACATGCAACCTGCCATGTCAGACTGGTCTCCCTTTACAGAGAGCCAATGTGCTAACCTGGGCTTTGGAATGACCTCCCCCCACCATACATGATAAAGCCGTGGGGTGTCAGAACTCCATTTACATATGGGGAAACTGAGGCACAGAGCTCTGATACCTCCTGCTCTGGTCACTCCACATCACATCACAGTCTTTCTCTGTCACCTTTACATCTGCAGGACCCCACCCCACCCCCAGCTGTCGCCCCACTGGTCAGAGTGGGCTCACAGCCCGCCCCATTCGCTGCACTTTCTTCAGAACACCTGTCAGCGTACACGCCATCATGGATGCTGGTCCCTATGTGGATGGCCTCTCCCATCCCTTGGCAGAGCCCAGCATACAGCCTGACACTGAGTGACTGGCCTACTGCAGCCCCGGCTCCATCTGCTGCCCTGCTCACTGGCTAAGCTGGACTGGGGAGTCTGTCTCTCCACTGGGTAAGCTCTGCAAACAGCTCCTCTCTTGTTTGAAGTAGGGAACAGACTCCCTCCTTCCTCATGACTGTTGAGCCACTGAGTTGGTCCTATGTCCGGAGCTCAGTGTGTGCCAGAATTGGCCACTGCAGATTCTCCTGCCCCACCTTACACATTCACATCCTCCTTCGACCCCGCCCCACTCATTCTGGAGAAGTGAGTCCGCTAGTTGTCCGTTCAACAGGGCCAGCCCCAGACCTGCTGTGGCCAACAGGACGTAGTGACAGAGATATGAGAGAGTACAGCTTGGTGTCACCTGCTGCCAGCCCCACCTGCTCCTTGTGGGACTGTGTGTGAACAGGTTCAGGCCACTTGGGGGCATGGTACACACAGGGGTAGAGCTGTTCCAGCACACACAGTCATCAGAGTGCCTCACACTCAACAGAGCTGCAGCCCTTGCCAGGCCGACCATACAGCCAAGGGCAGGACCAGCTGCTGTACTACCTACCCTCTGAGGAAAATAGCCACCATCTTTACCAGATCAGCTGTGCCTGCTTGCCAGAGTCCATCACGATCTGATCTGGGGACTGTTCACATTTCCTCAGAGGAGGGGGGTGGGAGGGTCATAGCCCCTCATCTGATAGTGTAGTCACTCCTCCCAGCCATCTGTATGCTGTACTGCCCTAATTGTACCCCTGGGTCTAGGATGGGTGCTAAGCATATAGACTGGGGAAGACTAGGGAAAGAAACTTTGATCTAGGTGGCTGCAGAGAGCTCTCATCCATGATGGGTGTAGACATTCCACTGCAGCTGTTTTGGTACAGCTATGCTCCTGCCTGTAACCTCCCATGCAAGCTCTGTAAGTAAGCCTAACAGATTCAATGGCTCATTTTGCCCAGGAGAAAATTCTCACACCAGCAGCTACCCATGGAGCTCACCTGAGGTGCCCCCTGCTGGAGGTCAATGGTGGCTTCACAACATTCAGTCTGGGGTAGTTTGTTACACACCAATAACTGACTGAGACATCTGAGTTTATTTACATTGGAAACACACCGGTCAGCATCTGCCAATCTTTTTTTTTTTTTTTTTTTTTTTTGGTTTTACGAGACCGGGTTTCTCTGTTTTGGAGGCTGTCGGTCCAGCCTGGCCTCAAACTCACAGAAATCCGCCTGCCTCTGCCTCCCGAGTGCTGGGATTAAAGGCGTGCGCCACCAACGCCCAGCTTGCCAATCTTAATAATATATCCAAGGCACCACAGCTTTGTCTCTCATCAGCAATGAAGACATTAGCCAGTTGGTCATAATAAGCCTAAACAGAAACCTCCCAAGTGACCATCTATAATTGTGATATCTATCTATCTATCTATCTATCTATCTATCTATCTATCTATCTATCTATCCATCATCATCCATCCATCCATCCATCCCAGGAACTCAGGAGGCAGAGACAAGCAGATCTCTGTGATTTCAACACCAGTCTGGTCTACAAAGCTAGTTCTAGGACATCAAGGGCTACACAAAGAAACCTATCTTGATGAAATGACAGATTATGGACACCCCCATGGAGGGCCTCAACCTCCCGGGGGAAATGAGGGAGTATTGGGGGGGCTGGTGGGAGGGCGTGGGAGGAGGGGAGGGAAAGGGAGAGGGACCTGGGATTGACATGTGAAGCAACCTTGTTTCTAATTTAAATAATTTAAAAATAAAAAAGAAACCTATCTTGAAAAACCAAGAAAAAAGGTGACATATCCCCACAGCAGAAAACTACACCACAATGTGGAAGGGACATACAGCTAAGCACAGCATTGCTCCATGTCAGAAGCGCACAGCTGAGTGAAGAAGCTCGACTCCAAAGAACACACCCTAAGGGTCCCTGCGCATGGAGTTTGCAAACAGCATAGTGTGGTGTTCAGTCAGGAAGGTGTTTTCCCAGGACAGGAGGGGCACATGTCTGGGATCCATCAGGTAATGTCTGTTGACTATGTGTGTACTCTGAGTTGCCTTCAAACTGTGTTTTTCTTTGTGTGGCTATACCCTAAGGTCTCTTTACTTACAAACTTGTCACAAATGCCATTCACTGGTATGGAGAAGTGGGCCATGAGTGAAAATTCATACAGATGACAGCGTGTGTACCTTCATTGCAGTGAAAAACGAGAAGAGTGAGTACAAGCAACCTGGGGTGACACTCCTGGGCAGGAGACAGTAATGCAACCCTTCCAGAATAAGAATCTGAGGTCAGAATCTTCAAAAGAAGATGCTGGAGCCCTTGTCCCAGTCTATGAGAGCACCCAGAACCCTGGCATGCTCAGACCTCACAGCACCCTGGGCCAAACAGAGTTAAAAGGCAGGGAGGATGGGGAGCACTGGAATTAAAGCCTTCCATGCTGTCCCCGGGGCTGCAAATGGGATCCAGATGTCCAGGCCCGCTCACCCTGTGGCTGGCTCGCAAAGGAAACACATTCCTCTCCCAGCTGCTGGGGCTGAGCAGCCAACAACTCCCAGAGAGCCGTGGGGGAGGTGTCCTACCATCTGGGCCGCCCACTGCCAGGGGAGGCTGCCAGACTAGGGGAAGGACAGGGGGAAGGGACGCCTCAACTCTGCATGGGTCCTGGCATGCAAGGGGCATGGGTGGATCTGAACTCTCCCCCCATGACGCCAAGAAGTCACCATTTGCAGCCTGGCACAGTTTATTAAGAACAAATGGCAATGGTAAAGAAGGTTGGGTTTTGACTACCTGGGTACTTCACACCTGCTTCACTGGCATAGACAGCCCCCTGGCTAAGTTGTGATTGGGGGCACTTAGGGAGTCTGCCTTACCATGTCCCTAAAAGAGACCATGACAAAGCCTTTCAGCAGGGGAACATGCAAAAAACCATCAGTAAAGAAAAACATGGGGCAGGGGAGATGGCTCATTGAGTCAAGTACTTGATGTACAAGCATGAAGGTCTGAGTTCATATTTGGAAGTGGTAATACCCTGTTTTTGACCTTGGTGTTCGGATGGTAAGATGGGAGGTGGGGGTGAGATATCGTCAGAAGCTTGTGGCCAGCTGGCCTGATTATGTCCTGTCAGACAAGAGGCCCTGCCTCGCAAAGTGAAAGATGAGGACCACTGTCATCTGAGATTGTTCTCTTACGTGTGTGTGTGTGTGTGTGTGTGTGTGTGGTCATGTTTGCATTGGTTGTGGGGGATTGTGTGTACACGTACATCTTCTCTAGTGAAGGGCATGTGACCTAGGGAGAAGGACAACACTCTAGTTAGTCACAAGGTGACCTCACATGTACATTGATGTTTCTGCAAGGAAGGAGAAGCTGCTGCTGAAAAACACAGGGAGAAGGGTATACCTTCTCTTTGCCTCCCTGCTGCCTCTATATTAGATCAAGTCCTTGACTTGTTATAATCACACTAATCACCAGCAGTGCAAGCCTGGGTCATCTCTGGGTGGTGGAGGAGAATGAACCCTACTGGGCTGGAGGCAGTAGGGAGACAGTGACAACAAAAACAGATAGCTGCAAGTCACCACAAGAGTCACTGAACGGGCTGAAAGATGGCTCACATAGAAGATGACTTAAGGGAACATACTTCCTTTGCAGGGGACCCAAGTTCGATTCCTACCCATGTGAGAATAGCCTAGAATTCCAGCTCCAGGAAGCTCAGATATCTCTGTCCTCTGTAGGTGCCTGTAATCACATTCACACACATAATAAATCTTAAAAATGAAATAAAAATTTTAAATCACTAAATAGGTACAGTACTGGAAGTTGAGCTTGGTGGTACAGTCTTGCAACCAAGTCATTTGGGATATTAGAGTTGGAGTACTGCAAGCTAAAGGCCAGCCTGGGCAACTTAGTGAGACCCTATCTCAAAACAGAAAGTTAAAAGAAAACAAAAAAGAGCCCCGAGGGCTGAAGATACTGTTTAGTGATTAAGAGTTGCTGCTCTTGCAGTTTCCAGCACCTATACTGTAGAGTTCACAGCCACCTCCCACGGATCTGACACTCCTCTGGTTTCTTTGGGCACCTGCTTGCATATGGGACACACAATTATCTCTCTCCCCCGCTCTGTGTCTGTGTCTGTCTCTCTGTCTCTCTGTCTCTCTGTCTCTGTCTCTCTCTCTCTCTCTCTCACACACACACACACAAATAAACAAATATTTAAAAAACAGGCCAGGTACGGTGGTGCATATCTCTAATCCTGGCACTCAGAAGGTAGAGTCAGGAAGATTTCTGTTAGTTCACAGTCTGCTTAGTCTACATAGCGGAGTTTCAGTCCAGTCAGGGCTACACAGTGAAGGCTTGTCTCAAATAAATAATCAAGGCACAGTGGTAGCATACTAGCATGCACAAGTCTGAGAGTTCAATCACCAGGACTTCAAAACAAAGAAATAAACAACAACAAAACCACAACCAACAAACAAACCAGAAACATCACTGTGGATTCTTTTTTTTTTTTTTTTTTTGGTTTTACGAGACAGGGTTTCTCTGTACTGTTTGGAGGCTGTCGTTCCAGCCCGGCCTCGAACTCACTCACAGAGATCCGCCTGCCTCTGCCTCCCGAGTGCTGGGATTAAAGGCGCACTGTGGATTCTTTAAAGAAAAACACAAGAAAATGAGGAACTCACAAACCTGAGGAACTCCCTTGTCATTGCTGAGGTGAGGATCTGTCCCACTCAGTCTCCAGTGAATAAACCTCGCATCAATGGTAACAGCCCGTCCTGTGACAGACAGCCCATGGCAGGGCAGTACCTAAACCCTGAGAAGAGGCTAGCGAAGAGTCTGGAAACACAAGCCAGTAACATGACTTCCCTGTGCTGTCGGAGCAAGAAGCCCTGGGTTCCACTGATTCTCAGCGTTTTCACACCACCTCGAACCCACACAGGCATGCTACAAAGTGAAGACAACAACACTGCTCACCTGGATGCTAACCAATAACCAGGGACTAGTGGTCCTACATGAGTCACGTGGAGAACATTCTTCCTTACCCACTGCAGTGCTATCGTGATGCACAGGTTACATGCAAGGAAGACAGAGGTTTAGAGTCTACAGAGGGAGACCTGAGGCTTCCACCCTCAGAGGAGGAGGGGGTGACATGATCCATCTGGTCCCAGGAAGGTGGGGTGGGCAGAGGAGGGTGGACAGGGCGTGTCACTTGCAGGGCTTCTCCGCCTCATCTCTGTGAGCTGCTGTGGCTGGTGGAGAGTCAGCCCCACGTGGTACCAACCCAATGCTCACTGTGGGAAGCCCAGCAGCTCCTTAGAGTCTGGAAGGCACAGGTCTATGGCTGTCTCTCCCCTATCTTGTCCAGGTGAGAGCATACCCAGTTCCTCTTTGGAGCATTCTCTTCTTCCATACCTAGAGCACAGGGCTGCCCTGAGAAGGCCCAGCAAGGCCTAGGCCTAGGTCTGGGCCCACATAAAAGGGAACTTGTGACTCTCCTGCTCTTGCAAAGGAGGTCACAGGCTGTCAGAAGACCCCAGAGAAGTCATATGGGTCTAGGTCTTTGCTGGGGTCTTATCAGGACACTGCTGCTGAGGTCAGGCCTTATAGCCGTGGGCAGGCCCCAGCCATGTTCTCTGAAAGTTTGGCATTCTTCTGAGGCCATTCAGCTACCGACCCAGAACCCCCACAGGCGGTTTGTCCAGTGTGCTGTCCTCTGGATGACCTAAAAAAAAATCTATGGCTGTGGGACTGGTGGGATGTCCCAGTAGATAAAAACAATTGCCCCCATGTCTTATGTTCTGAGTTCCAGTACCAGAACTAGTAGGAGGAGAGGCCTGACTCCAACAAGCTGCCTTCTGACTTCCACACTCATGACCACCCATCCCCAACAAACAAACAAACAAGAAATAAAAGCCGTGGCTGGCTTTCCAGGTAAGCCTCCATCTATGGAGCCTAGAGTCAAGGTGACCAGGGATGACCACACCCTCTGCCACCCAAGCTAGAGCTCTGGGGCACCTTCTCTGATTAAAGCCTTCATGCCTTATGTGTTCCAGAACATTCTATCCTTTATCCTGCCCTAAGAGCTGTCCCCAAAGATCTGCAAAATCCCAATTGAAGGTCTCCAAAAGCCCAGATCCTCCACAAAGGCATGCTGGGAGCTTCACGGTTCCTCTGCTCTTGACATTTGTGAAAAGACCATCTTGAGGATTTGCTGCCTGGCTTGGGCTTGGGTAGATGTGTCACTTCAGACACTGCCTCTGAATCTTTATCTGCTTACAGTTGACTCCATGGTTGGTGTTTCAACACAAGGATAGCATGCCTGTCCAGTCCACTAAGCTCTGCTCAGCTAACAGTTCCTGCATGCTTCTGGTGGGTGTTTCTGGTATTTCTAGCTAAGTGCATTTTGAGTCCTGTATACTCTTAAAAAAAAAGAAAACCAAAGCAGGGGTATGGTGGTGCACCCTTTAATCCCAGTACCAGGAGGCAGAGGCAGGTGGATCTTCATGAGTTTGAGGCCAGCCTGGTCTACATAGTGAGTTCCACAGTAGGTAGGAGAGCTGTCTCAAACACAATAAAATCAACCAAACTCCCCAAACCAAGTGTCTCCAAGTTAACTGCTCTATTATAGGCATCTCTCCACCCAACAAAGCCAAGGTGTTTTCCAATGCAGACCTGCACTGCAATGGGATCATCCTACCTCTTTTTCAGGAATTACCATGGGAACACCATATAGAATTAAAGCAATTAACATGCATGCCACAAAGTGAAAAGCAGGCCAGACATACAGTAAGTACTTAATTTGTGTCACTGTAATCAGGCAACTTCTGAAGTGTCTGCTGTCTCATGTACCAGTTCTCTGTGCCCTCCCCAGCAGGTGTCGCTGAGTCCTCCTGCCCCAAGGCCCCGTGAGGAAGGAATGTACATCACAGTGCCCAAGAGCCCTTGTTGCCACTGAGCATTTGACAGGTGACTATGAAAGGGGAGCTGAATTTAACATTTTTATTTCACTCTAAATCTCAGTCATCACAGGAGAAGCATGGGAGCCCGTTATGCAGACCCATGTGCAACAGTGCACTAACAGTGCAAGCCCAAAGGGTTAGTCAGATCTGTCTGGACCTCGCTTTGCCAGGCCTCCCGATGACCACAGCGGCCTGGACAGCTGTCACCCCAAGCAGGCTCCCACAACCTAGAAACAACACATCTTTTCTCAGAATTTAAGGAAACAGCCCTTGCTGGAAGCAACCGGCAAGCAGATGTTTCCTCCTGGCAGGCCGGAGCCACCGGCCCTCCCCACTGCAGGACTCCCACTCTTACTGTGAGGCCAGGACTCCACAGGGGAGACCCAGGGGTTTCAATTCTTCTTTTTAGGCAGGGGGAGGAAATATTTTTTAAATGTGTTTTACAAGCCTGCCTTTGCCATTGTTTATGTAAACAGGTAAATTGTTTCCTGCCTCAATTAAAAACATCTGCCACATAAATGAATACCAATTAACTCATCCTGTTTTTAATTACTCTGTTAATTACACACAGGCAGCAGCAAGGATGGCATGGAGCAGGGGGGCTGGGTACATCCCTCCCCCGACACCCCTCCCCCCCTGCCTGGCAAGGATCCGAAATATGTCTGGCTGGTGACGGATCAGGGTGGCAGGGAGGTGGTGGCATCCTGCCAGCCGGGATTTCCTGATCCAAAGCTGCCAAGCAGGCGCCTTTTCTCGGAGTCTCTTGGGCGGGGTCTGTCCTGAGCTGTCTCTACCATTCCCACTCTGTTGCCCTAGGGCTCTGCTGTCAGGTCCTGTTGATACCTGGGCATCAGGGACAGAGTGCTGTCCACACACAGCTCCCCAGATCCCACTTGAAGGCAAAGGCAGGAGGGCAGAGGCGCAGGGCTTCACCTAGACAGTTGTGCTTTGCCTGGGAGTCAGGGGATCCCCTGGGAAGGATGGGTGTACCAGCACAGTGTACTGAGCACATGGATGCTGGGTGTCTTGACCCTCTGCTACACCCGAGACGGGTGCCCGTGGCTCCAGATCTACTCCTCTGGTCCTTCTTCCTCCCCAACCTCATCACCAAACAAACATCATCCATTTGCTTGTTTTCCAGGAAGGAGGAAGCCTTGTCTGCCTCCTTTGGGGAGCATCACAGCTAGCCATCATGACCTCCAAGCTGGGCTGCCAAGTACAGAGACCCATCCGAGGTCAAATTCCCAGGACTGGTCAGTATCGGAGGGGACACCACATTCTGGCAGCACCGCTTGTGCCCCAGGCATCGAGATGTTAGCTTATCTCACCCTCCCAGCCTGTGCTTGGTAGGCGATAAGGATGAGAAAGCAAAGGGTTTTCCGATTTCCATTTCACAGATAGGACAGCAGAAGCCCAGGGAGGGTGAGACTGCCTATGCACCCAGCAAAGAGGGTCAACCTGCTCCATATCCGCCCTCAACCCTCATTTACATGGCTGCCTTACCAGCTCCAACACAGGGCCCACCTAATTTCCCACACCTTCCCATCTTGGCAGGACTAGAGGGTTGAGATGGACCACAGATCAGGAAGGTGAGGGAGGACACAGTTTTAGGGCTGAAGTTAGTGTCTACTTTTTGGAGTGTGTGTGGGGTCTCCTTAGTATTCTTACTGGGAAATGGGAGTGTCGGAAGCATGGGCATACAGGTCTTCCTGCCCTCGCTCTAGGACAACCTCTTGTAGGTAGTGCCTGCTGAGTGCTGTTTTAGGGATCCAGGCCAGCCTCCTGTTGCAGGATCACACAGTAGCTGCAGCTGGAATACCTTCTGGAGTGTCTATAACACATACTTCCTGCAAACACCAACCGATGGTGTGGCCTCTGAACTAAGATTGGTCTGAGTAATAAGGCACATACCCTACACAGAAGCAGAAACTGCAGCCACACCATGGAGGAGCAGAGGCTTCTTCTCACTCCATGCATCACAGGAAGTGGAGGCTGCATCTTCTGAACACAGCTCAGCAAGTCACTTCTGATCTCAGCCCAACCTGCAGTGGCTATGGGGTGGGAAAGAGCCCTGATATAAGGTCCTGTGTTAGGACATGGGTGCCAGGCTCCCTAAAGTCCACCATGGATATCCTTTGAGGACACTGTCCCAGGACAACCAGAGAATAGAATCTTTACCCAGCCCATCATCAGGCCTGTTCTGGGAACTAGGACACACCTGGGAGGTGGAGGAGTCCATATGCCAGTCAGCTTTTGTCTGTTTATTTGCCTGTCCACTCAAAACAAGGTCTCATTCTAGCCCAACCAACCATGGAACTCACTCTGAAGTTCAGGTTGGCCTCAATCTCCAGGCCTCATCCTCTTAAGTGCTGGAATTTCAGGTGTGCACTGCCATACTGATGTCAAATTCTGTTTTCTGAGAGGGTCTCATTCAGTAGTTCAGGCTGGTCTGAGACCCAGTATATAGGTCAAGGTAATCTTCAACTCATATTATTCCTCCTGCTTCAGCCTCTTGGGTGCTGGGATTACAAGCATACGCCACCATTACAGTGAAAGAACTCATGCTCCGACTCACCTGTGCAGCCCTGGATCTGGGGAGCATACAGTGATCCACACAGATAAAGCAAAGACCCTGGACTATGTGGAGAGAGACACATTTGCAAGATTCACTGTGGGTATTTTCCACTAGCCACGTCTGAGGGCAGGGGTGTCCACATCATCTCAGCTCTATACCAAGTCACGGTGGACACAGAGAGACACTGGAGTCACACAGCCCAGCTGTACCCCTCGCTTCCCAGCTTTAGCATAAGAGATGGTCCACAGTGAGTGGAAACCGTTTCCTGCCCTATCCCAGTCGATCTGCTCTCCTGGCCCTGGGAAGGTTCCAGGCAGGCAGATGGGCTGGTGCTGGTGCTGATGCTGGTGCAGCTGCTCTGGGAGAGCTATGGGGCTGGCTAAGCTGCCTGCTTTTCTAGTGGGAACCTTGTGGCTATTTGACTCATCCCACCAAATGGTCTCAGGGGACCTTGAGACATGGGGGTGGAGCCCTTGGGGAATTTTCCTGGGAAGAGGTGCTTGCCAGGTACTCAGCTCTGGGATAACTTCCATTAACCGAGGACAGCAGAGTCTCACGGAGAGCATGGAACTGCTCATTCATGCACAGCAGCAAGGAACGCCAATATGCATGGGAACCCAGCAGGGCGCTATTATAAGCAGAGAAGCAGGTAGAATAAGGAGCTGGTGTGGGTGGTCTATTCTCTGCAGCCCATTCTTGTGAAAACGTCCTCAGGAGAGATACGTGTGTGTGTGTGTGTGTGTGTGTGTGTGTGTGTGTGTGTGTTTTCTTCAGCAGGCTCTCACCTTGCCCACTTCTTTCCTGCCTACTGGGGGTTAAGGGTCACTACCTCCATGCTGGAGACTGACTTTTCCCATCAGAGAAAGAAGTGACACCACGCTGGGGTCAGGGAGCTTGTTCCTAGGACATTCGGGTATTGTGGTTAGCTTTAACTGTCAATTCAACACAGCTTAAGAGACATCTGAGAGAAGTCTCAACTGAAGAATTGTTTAGATCAGACTGACACATGGGCATATCTCTGGGGTATGCCTGATTGTTAACTGAGGTAGGCAGGTACACTGAACTATGTAAGAAATCCAGTTGTATATAAGCCAGCCTCAAGTCAGCTAGCAAGCAGCATTCTCCATCATCCCTGATGTACTTCTTTGGCTGTCTGTAGTCCTTGGAGGTTATACTATGTGGAATAGTAAACATGCCTCTCTTTAGTGTCTACCCTGAGTTTCTACTCTCCATGATGAACTATGACTTGGAATTGTTAAGATGACTAAACCCTGTTTTTGGTCAGGATGTTTTATCCAAGCAAGAGAAGGAACCTAGAACTGGTGGCAGGCAATGTACCTGTGTCCCCTGGGGTTCAGGGTGCCACTGCTACACAGGACAGGGTGGTTCTGGTGCTTAAAAGCAATGACATGATCTTTGGACATCTTTTTGCACACACCAGGAGAGTGCTCAACACTCAGGTATAGCCCAAGGTCTCAAGGCGTCTCCTAAAGCCCAGCCCAGCACAACAAATTTCAATCTGCCACCGCCTTCAGGATGCCTATGGGTCCCAACATTCTAGCCTGACCTCCCCAATATTGATGTCTGACCCTGTTCTGCAGAACAATTTTCAGGATATGGGCACTCATTTGAGTCCCTCTGATTGGTGGCAATCACCAGGCCAAGTCTGGGGGGAATGTGTTTATCGTGTGTTATGTCAGACTATGACCTGTGGCTGTCCCCAGCCAGCCCTTTATCTCAAGAGTGCAGTGAGCACTGACCATACCAAGCATGTGACTGCAGGGAGACCAGTAGGTAGGAATCTTCATTAGAGACTCATAAACCTCAGTTTTCCCATCCGTAAAATATATCAACACTACCTTCTGGGTTGGGGTGGTGTGGGATCACTGTATCAGGCCCTTGGGTGCTTCAGTGCCAAGAAACACCCATTGCCTTTTCATGTCCTGTGATTTATGTCTGTTGAGGCCAGATTCCCACAGCATCATGCGGCAACCTCTCAAGCACTTCCAAACTCTTCTTTCCTTGTTCACCCTGGGTGCTTCTGCATCCTAAGTCTCCTTGCTATTCCTCTCATGTGTCAGGCACGTTCCTGCCTCAGTGCCTTTGCACAACCTCAAAAAGAGTGGTTACTGGCTGTCCCCTGCAGGTTTCAGCACAGTCCCTTTACCAGGAGTCCAGAGCCAGCCTGGGACCTCACATGGTCCAGGATGAGACTCCATCACTTATCCCCTCCATCCACTGTCTCTCCCAGACCCAGGGAAGCATTTACTGAGCGCTGGACCGCACTAGCCTGTAGCAGGTGTCAATCATTGTCAAAAGAACAATCCCTACCTATTGCACTTTGTTTCAATGGATGGTGGGTCTCAGAGCTTTGGCGTGGAGTACAGGCTTCCATAGCTGTCCATCTGTCTGTAGAGCCCTTGCTCAGCTGTGATCCTGTGGGTGCAGCTCCAGGCCAACATCTCAGATGAGGGGAGTCAAGGGCAGTCCTGCAACTCTTGGAGCTACTTCACAGCCAGGCTAGGGTTCCACATGCAGCTCACCCACCCCTACTGCATGGACAGTTATACAGGGAGCATTGAACTCCCACAGCACTCTGCACATTGAGAAGGCCACTGGTTTCAGATTTGGTGAGAAGTAAAACTAATAGTCTCACCGTGTCCCCCAGGGGATCTGGTACTGGGATTCTGCCCTCTGTCCATGAGTTGGAAGAGGGGCTGGGCCATGGGGGGTGGGGCATTTGCCCTTCCCTACCTGCCTCCCTGTCCTGTAAGGGTCAGAGCCGGGGAGACAGGGAGACAGCAACCTTGGCTACAGGTGGCACACCAGCCAGATATGGATCTCATCTGCTCCAGGGTGTGGCAGTGACCACAAGATGGACTAGCCTCTGGGAGAGACTGAGAAGCAAGTGAGGAACAATCTGCTTGCCCCCCCATGCCACTTCCTCCTGGCATCATGCACACAAGGTGCAGATACTACTGGGATTACCCTCCTATGTGTGCCCAGAGGTCAGCTCGACCTGAGCCCCCCCTTCCAGAAGGCAGCACAATTCTACAGACAGCACAGCTGCTCAGGCCTCCACCCAAGGCCACAATGAAAGCACTTCAGGACTCCAATGTCACCTTAGAAAAGCTGTGACCTCCCACTACTCAGACTGCTTCTGATGCTCTGGTGGCCCTGGTAGGCAAGGCAGGGAATGCCCAGAGGGCATGGGGCAGGGATACTGTCCCCATGGGCCCCATTCCCTCCCTTCCCCAGAACTTGTGAGCACAGTAAAACAGCCATCTTGTGATTATCTGTCCTATCTATGCAAAGGGGTGAATTCTGGGGTCCTCACTGAGCTACTGCTCTCCCTATCAGCACCTCTCCTTCATCTGTACCGCAGGAAATGTCTATCTGGGAGGTCAACAGTTCCAGTAACATCCAGGCTGACCCCAGGCTGCTTCCTGGGCTGATGGGTCTAAGATCCCAAGACCTTGCCATCTTGTGGGCAGGGGTAGGGTACAGACAGAGAGGATTCAGCAAGTGACTCTCCCTCAGCCCCATAGGGAACCCTTTAGCCAGCAGGGACACTGCAGCTAGACACAGATCTGTTGCAGAAACACCTTTCCCCTCCCCAAAGGAGGTGGCTTGGAACAGACAAAACCTGCCCCAGGAGATACCAGGAGGGCAGCTGGATGGTCCTGTAGTGTAGGGCGAGTCCTACCACCAAGAAAATCGAACGGAGGAGGTGAAAGTGAGGCAGGTGTCACCAAAGAGGCAACATTCGGACAAAGGCGAGAAGGTGGGTGCTGTGCACATCTAGGGAGGGAGAGAGAACCAGGTAGTGCAAAGGCCCCAGAGACAGAGAGTCTTGCACATCAGGGCAACAGGGAAGAGGCGGAACAGAGTGAGTGGCCGGTGGGACACTAAGGTTATGTGCTCTTACAATCTGTGGCTCAGCTTCCTTCCTGAGTGCTGCATACAATGGGCATTGGTGGGGGCCCTCCGGCTGCTCACACAGGATGGACTTGGGAACAAGGGCAGAGGCAGAGAGGCTGGGGACAAAACTAGGTTTAGACCATCTGGTCACAGAGCAGGTGCTGGGGAGCCCAGTGGCTGTTTGTGGAATCAAACATGATGACAGCTTGCAGGCAGAATTGCTGCTGTTCAAACAACCCCCTACCGGCACTGGTCAGGCATCCTGAGCCAGCAGGGGACCCTGGGCGGCACTCCTTATCCCACCTGTCCCTGGCAGGGAGGACCAGGTAACCTACAACACTGACCGCCATGGCCACCAGGCAGGTGGCGTTTCTCTTTGGTTTATCCTTTGAAAGCCAGCAAACACAGACCCATAAAGTCCACCCCTCAGAACCTGCCTGATGCCCACAATAACACAAGTCACCGTAGTCAGAGATGGAAACAACACACATTTCAAATGTGAGACAACGGAATTCAGAAATACTATGTCCACCATGTCCACAGAGCTATAGAGACTGGGCATGGTGGTGCACACTTTTAATCCCAGCACCCAGGAAGCAGAGGAAGGTCTATATAGGGAGCCTGGTCTATACATAGAGAGTTTCGGGCCAGTTAAGCCATATAGTGACAACCTACCTGGATGGGGGACATTAGGGAGGGACAGACATGCTATAACTGGAAGAACCCTGAAAATATGCCAAGTGGTCACTAACATGACGCAGTACGTCTGCACTGCACACACATACACCTGGACACCCCCTGCACACCTGTACCTGCTTGTATACATGTACACCTAGGTCCCTATAGCCCTGCCTCAAAGTTTAGCTGTTGTCCATTATCTGTGCAGCAGCCCTGCCCAGGTACCTTCTATAAAGCCACACACAGTGTCTTGTCTGGTACCTTCTATAAAGCCACACACAGTGTCTTGTCTGGTACCTTCTATAAAGCCACACACAGTGTCTTGTCCAGTACCATCTATAAAGCCACACACACTGCCTTGCAGACAGGTTGATGGGCTTTTGAGAGATGATGAGGGCAGAGGGAGAGTTGGAGATGTCCTGTCTGCTGGATGCCTGCCACACACTGACCATGCCCTTAGGCACACCAACTATCAGCGCAGGCCCCTGCCCTCTACCCTGTGACCTCTGCCTGGATGCTGCAGGGCCTCTCCAGGTGCTTCACAGCCCAGAGGAAAGTCTGGGGATGTAGGCTATAGTCTTCCCTGGTAGAGGCATCACCTCTGCAAGGCCACTCTGGGCCCCTGGGTGCAGTACACAGCACATCCCTAGAGCCGCAGCAGTCAGTGAGGGCACTGTGTGCACACCTGGTAGCTTCTTCCATTTGAGCAGCTTCGGGTATGCTCTACCAGCTTTGGCTTCCTTTCCACAAAATGGATGTTCCAAGGGCATGGAACACATCTCCCCAAAGTGTGCCTCCATGTTCACTGTTGCTCCATGAGAGGAGAGGTGCTGTGCAGGAGGACAAGGCCATCTTTCTCGCTAGAACAAGAGAGCAAGCCTTCATCACTGGGTCAGGAAGAAAGGAGGGAGACCCTGGGTATGGCTACCTGATGCTTGCTGCCACTCCAGACCCAGAGATGGCACTAGGTGTTCTGAAGAGTGGATAGGACAGTTGTACCCCGCAACAGACATATTTGAAGTCAGAGGCACAGAGAGGGCAAGTAATTTGCAGCATGTCACACAGCTATGGATAAGGCTCTGAAAGCTAAAGTGATGTCCCTTTCCTTTCTAGGAACAGGAGAGATTCCACAGATGGATAGGGGCCCTAAATCTCTTGGCACTTGCCTTTTCTGTAATATGGAACCCTCAACATCCAAATGGGGTTTTCTCTGCACTCTCTCCTTGATGTTCTGGGGTGGGGCAGGGTGGGATGGGGCGGGGTGAACTCCTGATTCCCACCAGTCAACCTTGGCTATAGAGGTATATGAAGGTCCCTCTTGATCTGTTCCCTAGGAGTGTCGTGGAGTGTTCCCATGTTCCCATTCCCTCATCCCCTCTGTCTCCTCTCCTTTGGATAAACAGAAGACTGTTCTGCCACCCCCATGAGGAGCCCCAGGGTCTACCTGGGAGGCTTAGAGCATGGGGATAAACTGGCCCCAAGAGGCTGAATGGGAGGTGGAGAAGGAGGGATAGGGAGCCCAGGAGCTTCGGGCTGTGCCACAGGAGTCTTGGTCTGGAGAAATCTTCCTTATTATGGCCAAATTCATCTTTGTTTTCCTTCCTAGTGACATCTGGCTTGCCCTGAGGCCTCACAAATTACAAAAAGCAGGAGCTTGAACTTCTGTTTTATTGCCTCAGGAAGTGTGCTGTCACCCAAGGGAAGGGGTGGCCTCTGCCAAGCCACTCTCTACCTGGTCAGGCTGAGCCAGGAGGTAGAAACAGGAGCCCAGTGCTTATTACTTCCACCATCTCAGGTGCACACCCGGATGCCAGCCTTTCCCACTGAGGCTGATGGCCGTTTCTACCAAGAACCATTTCCCA